GGGGGGGGGGGGGCAGCTCTCCCCGAAAGCCCAGCCCCCTCTCCAGTTCCCTGACTGCTCCCTGCCTTGGCCTGGGGGCCTGGGGGCGACCTCCTCAGTTTCCCCTCGCCTGGCCTAGCTTTTGACGAGACACTGTTATTCATCAGGCCTGATCTCTTTCCTGTCTGCACCCTGACTGATAGGAGGGGTCCCCGCAAACTGAAGCTATGAGGAAGCAGAAACGAAGAGTAAGTAGGTATTAGGAGGAAGGGGAAAGGCCTGCGTGCGCGTGGGCCCGTGGGTGCGCCAACCCGCTCACTCCTGGAAACAGAAACACAGGAAGCCTCCTTCAATTCCTGACAGGTTTTCAATTAAAGTTGCGTTTCCACATGTATCGTTATAGTATTTATTCCTTTCTTTGTTTTTAATTAAAATTTTAGCTTTGGGGTTTTGTCTGGTCTCTTACACCAACCTTTGCCGTCACCTCTCAGAGACCAGCTCTTTTTACCATTCTGCGGTTTGGGTTTTGCTGATGGTCACCCCCATAACCAGATGATTCCTTATATCTAATTTCCTGATTTGCTCACTCGAGACACTATCTGTTGGTCTCACCGTATGAAAGATGAGGTTTAGCTCACTCTACACAACCTCACTCTCTTCCCAATGGTTTTTGATTCAATATTTTTAAAATAATGAGTCACCATTGTAACTATAAAAACATACTTAGAGCCTGGCTGGTGTGGCTTGCTGGTTGAGCGTCGACCCATGAACCAGGAGATGCAGGTTCAAGTCCTGGGCAGGGCTTGATCCCCAGTGGGAGGCGTGCAGGAGGCAGCGATAGATAATTCTCTCTCATCATTGATGTTTCTATCTCTCCCTCTCCTTTCCTCTCTCTGAAATCAATTTTAAAAACCACATATATATCTTATGGTCCCCTCTCAAGTATGGACAGTGCCTCTTCATCTGTACTCTATAAATTAGGGAATTGGTACCTCTGCCGTTTCCCCACATCCTCTCTCTCTTTCCATGTCCATTCTGTCATTAGCTGTCCCTGTGCTTTCACCTGAAGTCATTAGTATTTACATTCATTCCTGAATCCACAGCCAGGCTTCCTATGCCGTCTCATCATTTGACTTTAAGAAGTTAACTACCCTTAAACGTGTTTAAGTTTTTATGCCTACGTGGTATTGTTCAGGGTTGGGTCAGGCTGTCTGCGCTGGAATTCCTCCTTGCCTCCTGGTGGAACAGGACCCTAGAGGGGTCATGTGAGTGAGGAGCACATGCCAGCGTCTGGGCCACACGGAGTGTTATCTTACAGCTCCTGGAGCTTCGAAGCTAATCACATGCCACATTACAGTTGTTTCATACGCTGTCCATGACTTTCTTGGGCAGCTTTTTGTGTTTTCCTT